TCATGATGAGGTTATCGTTGTTGATACATTTCATTTGGTCATCTCATAAGTAGGGCCTATAGTTTGGCCTGTGACCCGCGGGTCGAAGTGGGTAGCTTGAGATTCAATGGGCTAAAGCCCGGTTCAGTTTGATGGTTAGGTCCAATCAACTCAACTCATTCTAAAATTGATTTGAATTGATTTGGTGGTGTAATTTGATAACCCGATTATACTCTGAGTCTGTTAACCCGTTAAGTTAACGGAATCAATTTGGATCTTGCCTAATCTGACCTGATAATGATTCGATCTAATTTGATATAACATATATTTCAATTTATTTTATTTTTACTTATTATACTCTTAACACATAAGAAGAATTGAATTGACTCATTAAAACTATAAAAATAAATATAAAGCAATTTATACATGTGTTGAACGTTGAAATATAAATAAATAAAATATTTATAATCATATCACGTGACTGTATTCCAATTTACCATCGCATATCTCCAAATTAACAAGTCTAAAGAACCCAACTTTTTAACACAGAATGGGCCTTTAGAGCATTTTGTACCACTGGGCTCCTTCCACAACATCACAGTATTTACTGGACCAAATCTCACAAAAACGTTCGTAATACGAAGAGAGAGGCCCAAGTTTCTTCCACATCTTTTTTTTTTATTTTCCAATCATCATACAATAATATGTCAAAAGAGAAATTTATCAATACATAAAAATATTTAAATACAAAAATTTCGAATGGGAAAATTTTGCATGCTAAATTATTGGTGGACCTTACTGCACATCACTAGCCATCACCTTTCTATTAAATTTCAGATAAAGGGGTCATTGGCCCACTATTAGTAATATTGATATTATTTTTAATATTAATATTATTTTCGATGTGGGGCTTATATTTTTCATCTCTGCTTTCTGCTTTCGTTTGGGAGTTGAATTTTTGGATTTTGGATTTATTGCTAAAGAAAAAGAAACATGCACCTTCCCCTCTGTCTTGATTCAGAGAACCTCTCTCTCTCTCTCTCTCTCTTTCTCTCGCGCATATCTTCTTCAACCTTCCTCCCTCTCACCGCAAACACTTCTCTTCCACACAATTCCAATACAATTCCTTTGCCCCACTGCATTGGCTCGACAATTTACAACTGCCCATACCTCCACCTCAGCAACGCCAAGATTTCCCCCACTATGTAATCATATGCCACCTAGGACCATCACGTGAAATTGCCATATCATCCATCATATGCCACAATAGCCTTCTTTTGTTTTGTGGGACATTTGATCTATTTCAGTCTCGGACTATGAAACGAAGGTAATGAATTGGATATTTCGATTTTGATTACACTTTACATGATATACACACTCATTAACAACGTTTAATCTCGTTTAAAATCAGTATAAAACAACACATGTAAGTTAGGCCGGTTGATTAAAGCAATGAACTAGCCTTCTTGTATGCAAGTTCAAATTCCCTTCCTTAAAGATTAGATTAATTTAGAATAATTTAGACTATATAAATTATAACCAGTCACACAAATTATATAATCATAAAATGAAAATTTTGTTTAACTTTCCATTAAGAAAACGAGTAATTTTTCTCATTTCCTAATGGAAGAAACTAATACCGTTTTATCTAGTTAATAATCCTTTACTAATGAAAGAAATTAATTTTGTGTATTATATTTATATATATTCCTTGGGACATGGACACAATACCGCCATGACCCCAACCCTTTCCCTGCCCATAACCTCATGGGCCCTCCTAATATTTATCCCAATATTCTTTTCCCTATTTTATATTAGACTAAATAAACCAATAATATCTCCCAATCCGCTAAAATAAATGGATTAAAAAAACCAAAAGATGAGGCCAAATAATTATTATTACTCATTAAGACGGAGCCGAAAGCCGAGGCATGGATAGAATTAGGTATGGGTCTATGGGCCCGAGCCAAAGCAACATCCATTAGACGGAGCCCACGTGGGCGTCACGTGTCCTCAAGGCCCCTTGTGGCGTGCGACCCATCCACGTAGGCGACACTTGGAATCCGGAGGTGCCCACAGGTTGTACTGTGGGTCCGCCACGTCAGCATCGAATCTAAGGAAAGAAAATATCTGGACTGAGCCCGGTAATTGCTCCAGGACACGCAAACTTTCGCTCCCCAAACTATGCGACACGTGGTGCTCTTGGGTCGATGGTGGCTTTCTAAATTTGTAGTGGTAGGCCGAGTATATAGGATTGTAGGGAGCGCCCATACCATTCTAACTCATCCGCCAACAAATTATTGACACGCGGAGGTCTGATGCGTTCTCACGTGCTGATCACGTGAGCTTTGTATGAGTGGCGTGGGTTAAAACTGAATTTGAAATGCGTGGACCTCAGTGCAGGGTATAAAAGCTAAACGGCTGCCGAGCATGTCGTAAAGAAGAAGCTAAACAACTTCGAAGTAACTGCTAAAGATATTTTCCCAATTTGCTTCACTCTCCGTACAAAGACGCAAATACCCCTGATCCCACTGTCGTAGTCACTACAAAGCTAGGGAATTAAATCTGAAATAGAGGGCTGTTTCCGTAACCCACTACAACGCTGCAAGCTCTCCCATATATCTTGCTCTGCTCTGCGGTTGAGAGAGAGAGAGAAACGAAGAAGCAGAAAATGAGAGAGTGCGAGCTATGTGGACTGAGAGCTCGGATTCACTGCGAGGCGGACCAGGCGAAGTTATGTTGGGACTGTGATGAGAAAGTTCACGGAGCCAATTTTCTGGTGGCGAAGCACCCGAGGAGCCTCCTCTGCCATGGATGCCAGTCGCCGACTCCATGGATGGGCTCGGGACCCAAGCTCACGCCGACCGTCTCGGTCTGCGAGATTTGCGTCGAAAGGCGTGGAATTAAGTTTCAGCGGCACGAGGATCAAGAAAGCGAAGCAGAGAACGAAGACGATGTTGCTCTTGATGATGAGGATGATGATGATGGTGGTGGTCATGATGGTGAAGATGATGAAGATGATGATGATGATGATGATGAGGAGGATGAAAATCAGGTGGTTCCGTGGTCTTGTTCGCATTCGGCGGCGGCAGAGCCTCCGCCTGCGGTGAGTTGTTCGAGTAGTGAAGAAGAAGAAGAGGAGGAGGAGGAATTTTTGGTGGTGTCGAAGCGAATGCGAGAGAATGCAGATCCAGATTCCGATTTGGGATGCGACGAAACATCGTCGTTGGCTTCGCTGAGGCTGTTGAAGCGAGCGAGACTGGGCGAAGAGAAGCGTTTACTGAGTGAGAGATCAAGTGAAGCGGAGTTAAGATCAACGGCGATTGTGAGCTCAATTCAGAGTCTTCAAAATCGAACGGACGTGATCAGCGACGGTGATGATCATGCGTCCGCCGCGGTCCTCGGGATTTGCGAACCCAGAAGAGATGGTCAGAGCCGTTGATATTAATTCATTTTAAATTCCTAACCACACAATACATAGTGCTAGTTGTTGGATTGAATGTTGATATTGTCCATGATAACCATATGAAATTAATATTTGACCCCTTGATTTTCCAATCAATGTAAGATTAAGATTCGCTCCGATTTAATTAATGTTGACATTTTGGTGTGTGTTTGCAAAATTAAGTCTCAACCTCAGAAATAAAATAAATTTATATGTGGGTGGGGGCCTCAGTTGATTTTTTCAATTGTGTTTTTTTAAAAAGACGCGTATTGAATGGAGATGGAGAAGATGTGGTGGCAGTTGATAACTTGAGGAACTAGTGGCTGATGGGATTGGAAAACTCCTCCTTATTTTAATGTATGGTATGAGGAGGCGGCGGCTTTGTCTAGTTTTTATTTTTTGTTTGGTGAAGAAATAGAAATGTTTTATTTGTGTTGGTTGAGCTTTTGACTTAATTTCAATTCTTGGAGGATATAAATATTATTTGGTTTCTAATTGTCACTTGTAGTACTATTTGCTTATATTGTGTTCTTGTGAGGAACATATATACACCATGCTTGAGTTGATGAGGCAGAGCCAGCCAGCCCCAACATGTGAAAAGAAGAATTGAGTTATGCTAGTATTAGTTGTTCACATAATTCGTGATTGTGAGGCGTGTTTTCTTATAATGCATTTGCAACTCACAATTACTCACGTGTGCATGAACGATTGATGCTAACAGTTCCTAAAAAGAAGATAAGCTATCATCTACGCCTAGAATGTCGGACCTTGGTCTACCATGATATCGTAGTATATCCATGAATTGACAAGGCAGACCCAATTCTCAAGGAGATTAGATAAGATTAATCTTAATCGCCTTATGCTAAAGCAAATAGCTTATATAAATAATACGTATAAGAGACACTAAATATGCGTTCATCGTCGGTCAAACTTCGTAAGGATGTGATTGAGATTTGATTTTTCACCACACATCCGTGTTGAAAGACTAGGTTGTGCGTGATGCAAAGCAAGTTGACCAACAATTTGGGCAACGTCAAGAGACAAAACCCAAATGCAAAAACGAGTCGTTTTGAAAATAAATTAGTGGATGGAAGCCTTCGCTAACCAACAAATGCCTATGATCCTATCTAATTGGGATATGGAATAAGGGTTTCTGCCCAAAAGATGGAAAGTTGTGTGATATTGATGGCCTGAGAAGGTGCATGTATACTTGCATACCCCAACATTCAAATTCAGTTGAGGATAAGGATGCATTTGGCCTGTAGCTGTTTGTTTCCACGTACCATCATGCTTAGCAATTTTGCTTTCCATCCACATCATTCACTCTACCATACCATGAGTCATCTAAAGACTGCTACGATTAGTCGCCCACACACATATGAGTAATTTTTTACTATATATCTGAATCCTACAAACTCAATCACTAACTACCCCATTATTTTACCTTCGTTCCAACATCCAAAAGCAAATGGCATTTAGCTTCTCCTCATGGTGAGGGGCAGCAAATTCACTGGTTTTTCAACAACACAATTACTTGTTCAAGAAAATGGAAATGAGGAAAGAATAGGAAATTTCATTGTCAGAATAAATCATAGACATGAGAAAAATGAATGGCTTCAAAATATTACGCGGTCCAAATTATGGTAGAAAAGAAAGTACCTTTTCATACCAAATGATTTAGGGTTGTCTAGCCATACAAATTAATAAACATGTCTAGTAATTCTGATGAGAAAATCATTAGACACAAGAAGATATAATAATTAAATTTTCATACTAACAAGCAACAACAAGCACATCCTTGAAACTAAAAGGAGACAAATGAGTCACAAAGCAATTGAACAAAGTAGGAAAGGCCTCACAGAATCCCATAAACCTCATTCACCATACAAATAGCATCTCCAATCCTCCCAGAAATTCATACGTTTGAGAAAAAGCTGTCGGAGAGGAGAGAAAGCAGTCTTGACTCATGCAGTCTGGACTCAACGTGTCAGCTAATCCCAGTTGACTCAGACATCTACACAAACTGCACAATTTAAAACCATGTTGACTTGGTCACACTCTGCATAAACACCACAAAATCGAACACAGACGAAGCAGCACCTGTTTTGCATGAAAATCGTGAACAAAAATAAATGAAAGCTGCAGGAAATGTACAGAAAGAAAAGGCGCCAGTGTTTACGAATGTGTGTGATTATGTCTACGTGGATACAAGCTCTTACACAACAAAATACAAAAGTATCCAAAACAATTGAAAAATGTGTGTCGCGACAATAGTGCAACAACATATTATGATCAAGCAAAAAGAGAGATTTAGCACAACAAATGCTTACCTGTACTTGAGAGGATTCAACTACGACTCGGAATACATACTAAGCATCTGCACAAAACAAACAGTAATAGTGTCATGAATACGTAAATTATCCAAAGATTCACTCTATACAGTATAAAGTTCAGAACCCCAAAATAAAGAAAAGAACATCCACAGACAAACACTTTTCATATGATTATGTAAACTGTACACTAAAATGTGTCCACTGGACTGACCAGTACAGAAGAGACATGTCCCATAGCTCATAAACCTATTAGAATAACAACTAACAACAAGACAAGAACCTAGTTGATATCATGCAAAAATTCCATAATATAAAGATTTGCTGCTACTTAAAACAAATGAAAGCATATTATTTATTGTAAAATATGTGTGAAACAGTACAATGCATGTCAATGTCATAATCCATTGCTGGATAAACTAGTACAGAGTAAAAACTTTTAGAAATTGTTCTTAGTTATTCCATCATGGGTACCGATTACACGGGTTGCACCACCCTAAACACATTCACCAAAGATTCATGGGTACAGGTGCAAAATGTTCTTCAGGGAAATGCAAAAAGGTAAAACAAGAAGAAATTTGAACCCCATTAAGAATAACCATTTCGACAAAGTTTCGTCACTTTGAAAATTTCCTTCCAGAACATTTTATTACCCGATGACATGATATGAGTCATACAGTCACATCAGTTAAACTTACTGACAAAACAAACTCTTATGTTCTGCTTACTATAAGCCAGCAGCACTTCTAGAAGCCAATGATAGTGCGTACCTATCCTCATTAACAACCAGAGAGGAAGAATTTGGATCACCAAAAAAATTAATTTATCACTTTCTATAGGTGCAAAAAGATGTGGTTGGGCCCTGACAACTAGACATGTAAAGAACAGCAAACCTACAAACCTACTTAGTGTTTTATTCTTAACAATGCATGAACCCTGATTAGGTCCATGAGCAAAGCCTTTCATCTCAAAATAGCATGATGGCACTATCCAGCAGAGTGGGAATACAAGGGAGCTACCAAACTATGAGCAGCAAACTAGTTAAGCAAGCATTGGCCTCTTCTTAGCCTACTGAACCTACAACTAAACTTGCCAGCAATGTGAACAACCTCCTTAGGCTACTGAATCTTATACAGAACATAGATCTATGCAAGATGTGGTCTAGGAAATGGCCAACTAGCAAAATAAGTGGTATTTGCAAATGAATATTCCCAAACACATGATAAATATGCAAAAAATTTCTAAGTTATACCGCTTTTGGCATGGGGAACATATTCTGACATTTAATGATAGAAAGAGGTGGACTTGCTTTTATTTAGACGAAGCATCTGGCAGCACTACCAAAGGGTAAAAAAATTCCAAACAATAGTTTTTCTTGCAGAAAAAAGAAAAGGATTCTCATACGTAGGATATTTTAGTGATAAAGCTAACCAGGCCAAATCTCAAGTGCATAAGGATCGTATACAGAATTTCATACAGCTTATAGTGGAGATTGGAAAGACCAAGCAACTCTAAAAGTAAAACAAACTTAAATAGGAAATGTCCATGCTAATCTAGTTCAAAATATTTTTTTCACATTCAAAGAACCTCATGATGCTTCAGAGAGCAGCCATGAATTGTGAACATTGCAAAATATCAAACTTTGCTTAATCAACCTTGGTTCTGAAAATCCATAATATATACAATAGAAACGATTTGCAGTTCACAATACTTCGGAAGCAAAACAACAATGAGGAGCACAAGCCCTCACTTGATATAACAATTTAAAATTTCCCTTTGCAGAAAGTTAGATTGCTCATCTAATTGCATCAGTAACTCCTAAACAGAAAAAGTTCTCCTTTGTAGCTCTCATATCAGATATACGAAACAATCATACACCCCCATTGCTACTAACAGACATATGCATATGGGTGTAATGTGCGCCAATCATACCCAACATGATATAATCGCCAGTTAAACAAACTAAATCTTAATCAAATAATAAAAAAGACCCAAATTTGAAGTTACTAGCAATTAAATCAGCGAAAAAGCCCTAACCTTTTTTATGCTCGTCCTTTACCACTGGCTTGATCACGGCTTCTTCCTCGTCATCCTCTTTGACCGCAACAACAGCAGCAGGAGCAACAGCAGAACCACCAGCACCGGCACCGGCACCGGCACCATTGTCATCATCCGGAAACCGTACAACAACAACAGGGCAAACACAGTGATGAACGCAATAATCGCTCACACTCCCAAGCCTACCGTCATTTCCACGCTTCGCGGCGCCAACCCCTCGGCTCCCCATGATCACGGCACTGAGCCCTAGCCTCTCGACCTCCAAGCACAACCTCTCCTTCATGTCATGGTCCTTAACGATGTGGATCTTGAAGGGAATCTGAGCCTCCTTCAAGGGCCTGGCGAGATCGGCGGCCTTGGAAGCAGTGAAGGCATCAAAGTCGTTCTCGAGCTTCTTCTGCTTGACGGAGTCGTTTAAGGCATGATTGTCGACGAAGTCAACGTCGTCGTTGGTATTGATGGAGAGGTCGACGGAGCCCCAGTCGGCGCCGAATAGGACGGAGGTGGGGCTGACGTGGAGGAGAACAACGGCGTCTCCGGGACGGATGTAGTGGTCGACAGCCCAGCGGACGGCATGGGCGCTCTCGTCGGAGAGGTCGACAGCGACGCCGAGCTTTCGGCGGGCGCCGGCGGTGGGGGTGGGAGTGGCGGCGGAGCCTGCGGATGAGGTGTGGTGACGTGGAGAGTTGGGGTGGTGGCGTGGGGAGTTAGGGTGGTGGATTCTGATGTGGGGGAGTTGGGGATCCGATGGGTCTTGGGGTTGCGGGGGCTGAGGATGATTCATTTGGGTTTTTGCAGAGGTTTCAGGTTTTTTTGTTTTGTTTTGTTTGGTGTTTGTTTGTTTGGATAGTCGGAAACTGAAAAGGAAAAGGAAAACGGATGGGAAAGTTGGGGAGTGAAACAAGAGAGAGGGAGAGTGGAGAAATGGGCTTAAATCCTTATCGTCATTTATTCTTATGCGCATATGCCAAAGTCCAAGACAGACAGAATGACACTTGTTTTGTTTCTTTCCGTTCTTCTTTCCTTTTTCTCTTTTTTCGATTTCAGATTAATGGGCTTCGATTTGGGTTGTCTGGTAGATTGAGCTATGGCCCAAGTCAACATCATTAGAATAGAACCCAATTTTGTCTAGTGTTTCTTTGTTTGGATAGTCGGAAACTAAAAAGGAAAAGGAAAACGGATGGGAAAGTTGGGGAGTGACGAGAGGGAGAGGGAAGTGGAGAAATGGGCTCAAATCCTTATCATCATTAATTCTTATGCGCATATGCCAAAGTCCAAGACAGACAGAATGACACTTGTTTTGTTTCTTTCCGTTCTTCTTTCCTTTTTCTCTTTTTTCGATTTCAGATTAATGGGCTTCGATTTGGGTTGTCTGGTAGATTGAGCTATGGCCCAAGTCAACATCATTAGAATAGAACCCAATTTGTATGCCTACCAGCTATATTTCAGTTGGCATTAAAGGAGGGGAGTCGTTCTATGCTGCAACAATTCTATTGTGAGGTCCTTATATATGGCCCTTAGGTGAGGTCTTATCTCTTAAACGTTGGATCATGCTAATTAATTTCATCCAACGGTTAAGAGATAGGGCCTCACCTAAGGACCGTATATAAGGCCTTCATTATAAAATGATTATTATATGGTGAGAGTGTCGTATATGGATCATAGATGTAGACCTTCATATTAACCACATGATTCATCTGAATAATAACTTCACTTAAGTTTAATGAAATGATCATATGACTAATATGGAGGTTCGTATGAGGGTCCATATATGGCACCCTCACTATAGAATTTCGCTCGTACAAGGAAGTTTGGGTCCTAATTTGAATCACGTTATATGTTTCATAAATAAATAAATAGACTAAATTGTAGCAATGGTATCTGAATTATATGTCAATATGCATTTTCGCTCTTAAGGGTCAATAATAGTTTATGTGGCTTCCATACAAGGTTTTGCATTGCACTATCGGTCATTTATGTCAATTTCGACAATTTTTCTGTTGAATGTTAGGGAAAATGAGGAATTTTACATGATAAAATTACAATAAATAATAAATAACTAAAAAATGAGAAGAAAAACATATAAGGGGGAGATTAGGGAATGAGTCGCTCGATAGTGAGGTTGGGGAGATCGAGGAATAAGTCACTCGACAGAGATATTGGGGAGAAAGGGGGCTAGGTACATAAAGTATAGCCTAAGCTCAATCCCATCTTAATACAATTTAATAAATTGGAACAATGGATAATGAATAAGATGTCTTTTTTCTTGGACATGAACAATGGATATGGGCACTAGCAAATCCATGAATTTCTTAGCAGAGGTGTACTTTTTAAAGGCATAAGACTTGATCCATGAATAGGTTTTAATAAAGATTTGGAATTCTCAGAAAAACAAAAAAAGACTTGGTGTGGTGGTAAAAAAAAAAAGGATATGAATATGATGTTTTTATAAAGACTTTTTATTTGTTTAGCTAAGATGTTTTGTAAAGACTTGGATGGAGTTCTCTCCTAAAAAACACAAAAAGAAGACCTTGCGATTGGAATTTGGGTCGATGGCTTTTGAGATTGGAACTTGGATGTTTTGTATTAAATTATTAATAATAGTATATAACACTGATTATGACGAAGTGCAAGTCTGAGAGCACTTTGGCAGCAAGTTCCGTGGAATTAGGCTTCATTTTTTTTTTCTTCTTTTTTTCTTTGATTCAAAACGACGTTGTTTTGACCAAGGATTTTTAATATATATATGAGCGTTTTGCTGCGCACAGCAGCCCAACAACACTGCAAACAAAAAGAGTTTCGCTAAGGCATTTCCTCAAGCAGTTTGTGGGCACTTCCATAGCAGAGCAGAGGTACAGACTTCGCCACCTCCAAAGTGTTTTCCTGCAAGGGGAAGTGCAGGTGCACCTCATTGTGCCTCTGTGGGTCCGCCATTGGATATGGGCACTTATATTAACTTAATTGCAGTTAATGGCCTAAGCTCAATCCCATCTTAATACAATTTTATAAATTGGAACTTAAGAGTTGAGGATCTAACCCAATTGGTCCCACCTATTAGTATAGTATTCATGTTGACAGAGACCCCCAAAATCAAGTCCATCCAACTTGGTGATACAAGTTTCCAAATCAACTATCAAACAAGTTTTTGACAAAAGACCCAATAGAAGATGGTTTTTGAGATAGGCTAGCTGCTACCAAAATGTGATCAAGTTTTTGGCATCTTACTAATCTTTCTCAAACCATAAGCTTTGATTGCTTCAGTGCTTGGGGCCCTAAACATACATGCATTTATCCTGCGAAAACAAATTTGAAGTTTAACCAAAACTCAAAATGTTTAAATTCACATGTACCGATTTTCTTGCTTGGATTCATAAACAAACAAATTTTTAAGTTCATATATTAAAAAAAATTCTATCTAAATAGTTGTCATTTCTAAAATCACGAGAGAGTAAAAGTTTTAAAATAAATAAATAAAGAAAAGAAAACCATGTAACTACTACAAAAAGTGAAAAAGACGACAGTAGAAGAAAAAACCGTCATTGTGTTTAAAAAGACGACGGTAACAAAAAAACCGTCGTGGATAAGTGACTTAAACAACTAAAAAACGGAGGTACTATTGAATATTTTTTTTATAACGACACACACAAATAAAAAAGCGTCGTCTTATTAAAAAGGTTTTCTTCAGAGTTAAAATCTGACCAAAAAACGACGACAGCAGATATGACAAGCGTCGTCTTTTAAAAATCAAGTGTCCTTTTTTTGGTAAAAACATAGTTGTTTTGAAAAAACTGTCGTCTATTATATGTAAAGATGACGGTTTTTTTTTAAAAAGGGTCGTCTATTATATGTAAAGTTGACGCTTTTTTGTAAAAAAGGGTCGTCTATTGTAAAGTAAAGATGACGGTTTTTTTAAAAAAGGGTCGTCTATTATATGTAAAGATGACGCTTTTTATAAAAAAAACTGTCGTCTATTATATGTAAAGACGACGGTTTTTTTTTTTATAAAAAAGGGTCGTCTATTATATGTAAAGATGACGCTTTTTATAAAAAAAACTGTCGTCTATTATATGTAAAGACGACGGTTTTTTTTTTTATAAAAAAGGGTCGTCTATTATATGTAAAGATGACGCTTTTTATAAAAAAAACTGTCGTCTATTATATGTAAAGACGACGGTTTTTTTTTTTATAAAAAAGGGTCGTCTATTATATGTAAAGATGACGCTTTTTATAAAAAAAACTGTCGTCTATTATATGTAAAGACGACGGTTTTTTTTTTTATAAAAAAGGGTCGTCTATTATATGTAAAGATGACGCTTTTTATAAAAAAAACTGTCGTCTATTATATGTAAAGACGACGGTTTTTTTTTTTATAAAAAAGGGTCGTCTATTATATGTAAAGATGACGCTTTTTATAAAAAAAACTGTCGTCTATTATATGTAAAGACGACGGTTTTTTTTTTTATAAAAAAGGGTCGTCTATTATATGTAAAGATGACGCTTTTTATAAAAAAAACTGTCGTCTATTATATGTAAAGACGACGGTTTTTTTTTTTATAAAAAAGGGTCGTCTATTATATGTAAAGATGACGCTTTTTTTTATAAAAGCGTCGTCTTTTAAAACACGCTAAAAAATGGCCACTTAAGTGAATTCGCGCTCAACAAATTTTCAAATTTTCACCTGTCTTTGAAAACCTTATCTCTCATTAACAAGCGTCGTCTTTTAAAACACGCTAAAAAAAGGCTACTTAAGTGAATTCGCGCTCGACC